TATGAGCATTGAACCTCAACTATAACCAAGCTTTTTCCTATCCAGTTCCATTTCCTAAAATTTCTAACATAGACATGTAATTAATTAGCTTCTAAGGTTCCATTTAATCAATAAATAAATCAATCTTAATTCAACAAAAATTAAATCCTCATCCTCCATACTACTCACGCCAACAAAGAAAGGAAGGAAATATTTTACAATCTCAACCCACAATTGCTCGTGCAACAATAGAGAAGTGAAGGAACAAATTACCTCACCTCAAATCATCCACAACATGGAAAGGAAAGAACAGAAAAGGGGTGACAGAACCGGGGAGAAGGAGACAGCTACAACCCAACCTCCAGCTCAAGAATTAGAATCCACAAATCTTAGACCAGCTCCTCGTGTGCTAATGATTTTTGAACAAATGGAGGAGGAAGAAAGGGTCCGACAGCACCCACCAAGAGATATGAAGAACAGAGATGAATGGGGAACCAAGAGCTCCTTACCCAAACCATAGTGCTCGGTCACACGGTCAGTGATCTGAACAACAGGGAGAAAGGATGGAGAAACCGGATGAAGGACGAGTGCACACACACACTCTCTCTCTCTCTCTCTCGGTCTAGAATTTTTAATTGAGGAAGAAGAGGAATGAAGAAAAATGAAGGCACTTCCTTTCGCAGATCTAATGCTCTCTGTGTTTTTTTTTAAAAAAAATTGATGGAGGCAAAATGATAATTTTAATGAAACAAATAGCAAAATAAAATCCTTTCCTTACACTAAGAGGGTTCAAACCTTGGACTTGTCTGATGAAAATCTAGCTCAGCTACCACTAAACCAACTCTCTTTCTTGATAATCCTAATTGAAAATTAATATAACTACTATTAAAATGAAAACTTGTGTGTGTGTGTGTGTTTTTTTTTTTTAATTTAACTTAAGTTCTTGGGTTATTACAAGACATATGTTTATATTAATATTTTCAATTAATTATTTTAATAAATTTATAATTGATTCATTTATTTGCTTTCCATCGTTTCCTTCAACTATAAATTCAGATGTTACTCATTGAAATTTTTTTGTCTTAGATATTATAGTTGACCTTGCACCTCCAGTTGAACATTGAAAGGCTCTATTTCTTTTTGGAACAATTGAAACACACGATAGTTACTTTGGATGTAAAAATATTTTGTTTTAGAAAAAATTTAATTTAGCGTTCCACATATGGCTGTAGTTAGGTCATCATTTTATTTTGTTGGTATATAATTTGCTAGTGTAGAGCTATTCTTCTTTGTTGGATTGATTGGCTAGTTTCACTATTGTAGAAATTTTGGGAAGTCTAAATTACAAAGAAAACTTAGCCAAAATTTCTACAAAATATTCAGAATTTATGAACTTTATAAATATAGATATAATTGTATATCGATAATTTAACTTAATTTTTGATTAATTAAAGCTTATAGAATTTAAAATTATCTCATATTTCGTGTCGGTCAGACCCTTAGTACCAGGGTGTGACACCTTTAACTTATAGTATATAGACATGTGCTGCATTGCCATGTGGCCCAATTCTACATGAACATATATATTTACAACACAACAGAGAAACTTCTCACTTTGTCGATCTGGACTCTATTAATTTTCTTGTGAATAAATTTACAGAGAAACAGATGGGAATAGAAAAATGATGATCCTTCTTGACATTTGAAAAACACTTTAAAACATTATCATGTGATCCTTCTCATCCATGTCTGCGGACAACGCGTACTACTTTACCAGCCATTCATCAATCACATCTCAACCAAATGGTTTGTTTACGGAGTCGTCTCTTAATTATGCTCATCGTAGCTCGTTGGTTTTATTGAAAAAGGCCTCGAAGGCAACTCCATGTGATCTCTCTATCACATAACATGTCCTCCACCTGTAATGTATATATACTCATAGTTATGTGCTTTTACTCAATTTTCAATATTCAAACACTTCCGTCTAATTCTCTTCTTAACCACAAAATGATGGATTTTTGTGTAATAACCCAGAAATTTTAAATAGAACTAAAAATATAAATAAAGTGTTTTAAGTATATTTTTTATTAATTTTGAAAATAAATTTAATAAAAAAAAGTTGGTTTAGAGGAGATTATGCAACCACATATTTGATTGACCCAAGTTTGAACCAGAGGTTAAGAGTGAAATTTTTTTATTTTATTTTTGCTTCAGCCTTTAAATAATTACCATTTTACCACTCTGTTATTGGGGGAAGAAAACGGAGATGCAGAGTTTAGAAAAGATCAGAAGCTTCTTTCCCCTTCTTTACTTCAATCTTGACCCAGGGTGAGGCAGAGAGAAGGACTGAAAACTTTCTGCGTCTTCGTGAGAATGTCAGTCACTGCCTTTCATTTTCGTCCGAGCAGCTGGGGGGGCGTGCGTTGAATTGCTCTGCTTTGTTCTCCCCTGCCTCGCGTCATCTCCTTCATTATTGTGTCCTCTGTTTGCTATCGTAGCTGGTGTCGTGGATGTGCCGAAAATATTCTTTCCTCCTTTCTTCGCCGGCGCCGACAACGTTGAGTAGCGTTTGGTTGTTCCTTTTTCTGTGGGTGCTGTCATCGGGTCTCTTATTCAGCGTCTTCCCTGTTCAGCGCTGCGGACTTCCCTTCCTTTCTTCTTGGTTCTGCTTCTACCACTAATGTTTTGAGGTGAGAGACTTTTCTTCTCCCTTCCTCCTTGCCGGTCCCGTGTGGGCGTGTCTTGGCTGGGTTGTGTTTTCTTATTTTTGGCTGCACTTGTGTGTGTTAAGAAGGAGCAAATAAGGTTAATCAAATTAAAAACTTGAGTTTAAGAACATATCTTTGGAAGGAAATTTCACTTAACTCAAGAGCATATCTTTGGTAGGAAATTTCACTTAAATCATGAGCATATCTTTGGTAGGAAATTTCACTTAGATATGTTGGTTATTGCTTGAGGATGAATTTAGAGTTAATTTTCTTTGAACTTAAATTTAATTCTTGATGAGAGTTGAGTGTGGAAAGTATGATAAATTTTGCTATTAATCTAGAAACTATTGGGGAAGTGAGTGTGGTTAGGAAGTCTCATTGAATGAATTAAAAATTAATACACACTATGTGTTGGTTGAAAAGTTCAAAAAAGGGTCATATCACCATTAAATAATTTAACAATGGCTAAAACAATATGGAGAAGTATTGTGATATAAATGGTAATGTTTGGGAAATTTTGTATTATTTAGATTAATTATGTTCATATACCAATGTTGGAAGGAGATTTATTTGACTTGAAGAAAGCTTATTAAATTTTCTTTTATTGAATAAGGCATTTGGAGGGAAGAAGACTTTGATAGAAGTTTAGTTTATTAATTTTGCCTTAAACATTTTGATTATTGTTGTAAGAAAAGCATGTTCAAATGACATTCTTTTCATATTTGAAATGATTGTTATATAAGTACTGGACTTAGGGAGTTAGATAAATGTAATTACTTACATTGGAAAATTTTGGGATGAAATTTAAAGAGAAAAGAGCTTAGAATTTTAATTTGGGAATTTATGTTTGTAATGTGTTTGATAAAAATATCCATTAAGGGAGAAATTTAATATATGGTGGCAAAATATATGTGATGATTACATTGTTTGAGAATTTTAATTTGGGAATTTATGTTAGTTAAACAATTATTAGAAAACAATCACATATTTTCTTTAATAGAAGTTAAGATTAGAGTTAGATTCTATTTTCAAATGGTATTTTGATTGGGGAAAAAATAATATAACAATGGAATTACTTGGACACTAGGATTTAAAGACCAAGCATTGTTGCAGGAGGACAAGTTAGAAGTAAGATATTTATTGGTAATCTACTAAGTAAGTGAATAGTATCCCAATTAATTTACTTATAAAATTATTTTTTAAAATATTTTTTATAGATTGTTTTAATAAAAAATTTATTATGTATGAGATATTTTGTAATTTAAATTTCTTTATCTTGTAAAATTATTTTTTTATCAGTTTTGGTAATTTTGATTTCTCAATAAAATGTAAGAAATTTACTTTTATTAAAATTTTGGTTAAACATATTCATATATAATATACATATTTGATGTTATGATTTAATTTTGTTATTAACTACTATATTTGAGAATTCTTTCATTTCATTAAATTTTATGAAAGGAATTGGAAATAATCTTTTGAATAATTGTTTGCAATCATTTATAATAATATTGATTGATCTTATCGTTAGAAAACAATTATTTATTATGACTCATGTATGGGAAAGCATTGAAGATACTATCTTATGATGATTATATTGAAAAGAGCATAAATGTTTATTTTTATAACCCATGCATGCTTGTTTTAAATTGGGGGACATATTTTAGAATGCTAATTGCTAACAACAATCTTGTTGGCCCTTAACGTGCTATGGTACATCTAGCTAGTAGAGTACTTAAAGAAAATGCTAGCCTGTTGCATAGGCCAATGCACATGAAATGAAGGAATGGATACTCGTGAATATCGCACTCATGCTTGTTTTTTGGGCTTCATGCCTGCACTTATTTCATAGCTTCTAATTGTGCTTGATTACTTTGTGGCTTTAAACCATGCTCATTGGTGACTTACTCTAATAGACTGTATGTCCATGTTTGTTGGTTATTTATCCTCGTTGACTTTATATCTATACTTATTAATTGTTCTAATTGAGTCCTGTAAATTATGAAATTTTGAAACTTATTGTCTTTTAAATTAGTTTTGCTACATAAGCTTTTTACTTGATTGTGCTTGGATTTCTCTTTATAAGATAAATTATATATAATTTAGTTGTTTAAGGCAAAAGTCATAACTTGGAAATTGAACCTGATGTCTCTATTGTTCTTAATCAACCTTTTATCTATCTATTTTACATATTTTTACAAGATTATTTGAATTATGCAATGTGTTTCATTTTTATTATGGTAATGGTTATTACTCTAAAATTCATAATCGTTTTATAAATATTATCTTCCTTTACTTTTTGTAAATCTAAATTGAAATGTTATTTACTGAAAAGTTATTTTTTGTCTCAAATTTATGACTAATGCTGAACCTCTTGCTAACTTTTGAGAGTCTTGTAGTAGTCAGGTGAAGATTTGATTAAAATTATTTCCTTTTGATGTAATTATAGAATTTACATATTTTATTTTGAAAATATGGTTAGGTGATCCATATAAATTATAGTTAAGATCTCTATTTTATTGTATATTCTGTTGCTAGCTTGAAGGAGTAGAGCTCATAGTTGTTGTATTTTATTTCAAATATTGTATCGTAAAATTTTTGGGAGGTTATGTTGAAATTTCTAAAAAAATATTAGAACTTTTATTATAATATATATATATATATATATATTATTTAGCAAATAAAAATCTTGGTACAAATTCAATTATGTCTTAGGAATAGAAGAATTTCTCAATTCAAGGCTGAATTGATGTGCGATATGCATCATACCTTACCTATTACCTTTTATTTTCGAGATGTGACATTTCATTTACCTGGAATCAAGGGGAGTACTTTGTTTGCTGCAAAATAGACATCTTCAAAATTTGGTGAAGTGCCAAAGGGTCATCTAGAAGTGTATGTCGGAGTGGAATTGAAAAGGTTTGTAATCCCTATTTCATACTTGAATCAGCCTTCATTTCAAAAGTTGTTATATATATAAAGGTGTGGAAGAATTTGAGCATAATCATCTAATGAGAGTTCTCACTATTCCTTGCACAGAAGATATCTTCCTAAAAGTCACTTTTTCCTTCTACAGGAGGTGCTGGCTTGTAAAGACAACATAAACTTAGATTAGTCAACACAATTTTGTATAGAAGACAATACATATAGTTTAATTTGCTATGAGAAGATTCACCCCTCTTTTTCTTACCTCACTTGGGAATTGAAAAATAATTTGTATCTGCGAGAAATTTACCAATAGAATCTTCACACGATTTCAATCAATTATGAATAGATCTTTTTTTTTTTTTTTAATATCAGGCGACAAAAGTTTGGTTTCTCATGGCAAGATTGAGAGGAGCTAGTAAAGTTATATTCCTTAATCCAGTAAATTCAGATAAAGATTTACTTATGGATAAACAAAAGCGTCTCTGTATAAGTGCAAGCAACTTAATCCTTGGAAACATTTTTTGCACATGTCATTGAAACCATAACTTCTTATATAATATATAATATGTAATTAAGCAATTATTGAACTAAACATTTTCCTCGTCAGGATTAATTAACTTGTGTTTTCTTTAATTCTTGTCCTTCATTGTTAATAAAAACAAACTTTGGCCTAAAAAGCATGTATTTTTTACTTCAAAAGCAACGGGTTTTAGGCCAAGGAAGTTATGATGGTCAACTAATTGTTTTATTGTACAGTATCTCTTCAATATCATCAAATCAATAATTAATAATCAATTATACAATTAAAACATGGAACTTATTAGGATACATGTATGTGTTGCCTATGAACTCAAGAGTTAAGAATACAATTTTCTTACAAAGGGACAATGGCTGTAAGAGATCACATGATATTGTCTTATGGGTACTTTTCAAGGACCAAGACGTTAAAAGAGCGGGCCTACAACTATCAAGCCAACTCATATAAGAGAGTGGTATATTAAAACTGATGGACGCTATGTCATAGTGACTCAAGACAAAGTTAAAACCGCGTGAGTACATTTTATCGAAAACAAAATGGACCATTAAATTATTTTTGAAATCTAGCAGCCAGGGTTAATTTTGTATTTAAACTTCTAAATTTTTACTTTTACATATTGTCATAATTTCATGGAAAGATATGATCTCACGCTATCCAGAACTTGATTATTGTAAATGCAGTGGCCACAACAACGAACCAAAATCTATCAAGATTCAAGAAACGGAGTGGGCCAATAAAGGTTAATTTATATAATTATTTTGGGATCAATTAAAATCATGTTTTTAAATTTCTTTCTTAGTTCCCCATTTAGAATCTTAAAGAACAGGGACTTAGGAAGTAAAAGTGAAAGCGGAAGCATGAAAATTGTGCTTCGTATGTTAGAGATCATTTCTTTGGAAAAACCACTTACATCAAAATAGGGAGATGAAGTTGATAACCCTTGAACAAGATCAGGACTCGAATTACAAGATTGAACAATATGATCCCTTTTTCTCACAATTTCTCTACAATGATAAAACACAACTCGAAGTCACCAAAACAAAAAATTCTATGCCTTTGACATCGATAATAGATTAGGTGGAAAATTCTATCCATCATCCATCATCCATATTGAGATAAACAATTTTTCACTACAAGTAGGGGAACAAATAGAACAAAATCTTTACAAAGCAAAACGATCAAGTACAAAATTGTGTTGACTAATCTACGTTAATCTTGTCTTTGTCAGCTAGCTAGCACCTGTCAAAAGAAGAAGTGATATTAAGGAAGACATCTTCTGTGCAAGGAATAGTGAGAGCACCCATTGAATTATCATATCCATACTCTTCATAGGCTTGGCTTAACAACTCCTGAAATGAAAGTTGATTCAAGTAAGATATTGGGATCAAAAACCTCTTCATTTCCTCTCCGACATAGACTGCAAGATATCCCTTTGGTACTGCACTAGATTTTGAAGGAGAAATTTGTGCTGCAACAATTGAAGCCCTTCTAGGTAAACGAAAAACCATATTTTGTGTTTAAGAGAATAGGAAGAAAGTGCTGGAATTTAGATGCTCTTGAAGATATTGTTGGCAATGAGTTGTGTTGTTTCTGAAATGCAAGGAATTATGAGTACATATAGATGAATGGATTTGTTTTCCTTCAATAATTGGTGGGTGAGAGGTTGTTTATGTGATAGCACCTATTGGAAGACAAGCTCCCTTGAGATCACATGGTTGTGTCTTAGAGAGGTTTTTTCATAAAGCAACAAGTCAAAACGAGCAAAATGAAGAGACGACATGGATCACATGATTGAGATATGATTTCTTTACATCAATCCAAATGAGAGTTAACATGTCTCTCGCATACCAGGTAATGAAACTAGCGATTATAAAAGCCTTTGAATAGACATCAAGCTCTGAGCACAGTAGTTCAAGTGATCTTCTCTTGACATTCGAGAAAGGAACAAAACAGTATCATGTGATCCTTCTCATCCATGTCTCTAGATTATGCCACTTAGCTAACCCATAGTCAGTCATATCTTAACCAAATGGGTTTCGGAGTCCTCTCGTCATTAAGACAACACCATGTGATTTCTACATGCCCTTGTCATCCCAATTATTAATCCCTATCACATAACCTTTCCTCCTCCATTCATGTATATATACTTTTATACTTGTATGCTTTCAGAGGCAAGCAACGCAAATCTTTCACCATACTCTCAAGCATCAACATTCAAATCCTTCCATGTTATTCTCTTTTTAAACAAGAAAAGCAATGGGCTTTCGTTTACCCAGGATCAGGAGGACTTCCTTTGCTACAAAATTGACTTCTTCAAGATCTAGTGAAGTGCTAAAGGGACATTTGGCAGTGTATGTGGGAGAGGAAATGAAGAGACTTGTGATCCCTATATCTTATTTGAATCAACCTTCATTTCAAGAGTTGTTAAGTGAATCTGAGGAAGAATTTGTGTATGACCATCCAATGAGTGCTCTCACTATTCCATGTGAAGATGTATTTCTAAAAGTCACTTGCTTCAATTGATGCTAGAAAACAAAGACAACATTCCCTTAGATTAGTTATCAATACAATTTTGTATAGATAGGCAATTCAGATGACAATTTTGCTATGTAAAGGATTTTTCCCCTTCTTTTCTTCACCTACTTCGGAAGTGTTAAGTTGTTTGTGTTAGTGAGAAGTATACCAATAGACAATTTTCATCAAAGGCATTTATCTTTAATTTAGGCGACTAAATTTGTTTTCTCGTTGCAAGGTTGAGAAGAAAAGGTTAAATTTCTTAATCCGAAAAATTCAAAATAAGATTTTATTTTGGGGATATACAAGCGCGTCTCCTTATAAGTGCAAGCAAATTAATCCTAGGAAACTCTTACGGAGGAATATTAATTTAAAAAAAATTATTAGATAATCAAAATAATTCCATGTTTCCTGGGAAAATTATATTATTCTTCAATTTCAATTCAGAATTTATACTTTGTAAGAGTAGAGGAAACGCCACTTAATATATAGATATATGGATAAGAATTAATGGAGTGAACGAATGGCCAGAAGTAAATTGTATATATAGAATGTTCATAGAGAACATGCCAGAAAGCCACAGATCATGAGACTGATGAGGAAAGGAAACATCATTAAAGTTTCTGTCTTCAATAATGTTATCTCAATTTAAAAAATTGTGAACAGTTAACCTTTAAATTTTCATAACATTTCATCACATTTTTCTTAGGTTTTTGAACATATTTTGACACAATTGTACATATTTTAAATATTCAAGTTAAAAAATTGTGTGTATTGATATGAAAATTCACACACCATGCCTTTATTTTGTTATTTTCTACCTAATTTCATGCTAGCTAATATCAGCCATTAAGTTTAAGGTGATGTTGGGAGCCTTTCTAGTCATTAAGTAATGATTTGAAAGATATTAGGATGAAGACATTAGGTGCAAAGTTGAACAATCATGTCAAAGGGAGAAGTGTACAAAATGGAATAAAACCATGACCAAAGTTGCAATTTTATTCTTGACTTTTAACTTTAACAACAAAGAAAAACATTTTATGTAGTTGATAAATTTAGGGCTTTTGTGTATATAAGGGTTGTTTTTCACTTTGGCTGATATTCTAGACTTCTTAAGAGTATTTGGAAGCTTCGGGTTTGCTAGAGCTTGGATTTTGAAAGAGATTGAGCTATGATTTGAAAATTAGATGAGATTTTGGCTTCATATATTAGTTCTTTTTCTCCATTCTCCTCCTGTTCTTCTTGTTTAATGTTTGGGCTAATATATTTGTATTTTCTCATGGGTTTTATAAACATTTATAGCTAAATTCTTGATTTTAGGATTATTTTGAACCCTTGTATGAATTAAATACTCTCTTCATATATTAGTTCTTTTTCTCCATTCTCCTCCTCTTCTTCTTGTTTAATGTTTGGGCTAATACATTTGCATTTTCTCTTGGGTTTTATAGACATTTATAACTAAATTCTTGATTTTAGGATTATTTTAAACCCTTGTATGAATTAAAGACTCTCTTCATATATTAGTTCTTTTTCTCCATTCTCCTCCTCTTCTTCTTGTTTATGTTTGGGCTAATACATTTGTATTTTTTCTTGGGTTTTATAAACATTTATAACTAAATTCTTGATTTTAGAATTATTTTGAACCCTTGAATAAATTAAATACTCTCCCTTTTTATATTTGTGATATTAATGATGTGATATGTTGCTTTTACTTTATGCTTGTTTCTTCTAGTTGATTGACTACCAATGAGCAGCCTGGTTGGATTGAAGGGTAATTGATTTTTTTTGGGCAAAAAATCGATTAAAGCATAATTTACCCAAGCAGCCATATTTTGTGATAATTGATTGTTGAGGTAATTAATCGATTTTATCATAAACTCACTGAGACTGCTTCACGAGAAATCATAATCGATTTTAATACCCTCCATGCTATCATAGAGAAATCATAAGCTGAGAGAGAATTGGAAATATAATAAAAAGATCAATTAAAAAAAATCTGTCTCAATTAGAATTTTGAAAAAAAAATCTATTTCAATTATTTTTATTTAAATAAATAATTATTTAATTTCATACATCAATTAAAAAGAGTGATTATGATTAAACTATAGTAATTTATACATCTAAATTATTCAAACATCTTCAATTTTTCAAAATCAATTTAAAAAAAAAAGCAATATCCAAACATAATCACATTATAACATAATCAATTATAATCAAAATCAATTACATTAATTAATTTTTTATAATTAATTATACCCAACTAAAATTCAAATGTGCCCAAAAT